GGCCCTCAAACAGCCGGGGTGTCTAATGGAGGGGTCGGGTCTTCCATTGAAAGCCCAGGAGCCTCTGGGTGGTGGGAAGGCGATATATTTTTTCTCACCCGGTTTCAATCTGGAGGCCGGCGTCGGCCTGGTGGGCACGGCGCTGCTAGTGGCCTGGCCGGGGGCCCCAAAAAGCAAAGCCCGGAGCTCCACGCCAGCCGCGGTCCGGGGCTGGGATCTAAATTTTCCACGTTAAAATGAGGCTATGTTTTTTGTTTTGTTTGGTTAGGGAACCCTCCAAAGCGTCCCCTTTTTAAAATTCACGCCCATGAACTGACATGTCAACCTTCTAGTAAATTTCGGCCAGAATGAAAGCATACGTTTTTTGGCCGGGAAGGCAAAAGCCGATGTAGTTTTGGTTGTTTTGCATCTACGCGCCCCGAACAAGATGACCCAATTGTCTTTTTCCATCTACCTCCCACCGACAAAAACAGGTGTCGTCTTCTAAACCAGTTGAATTTATTTACAGGACAGCACTTGGCAATGTTCATTTTTCCAATTCGCGGCTTGGGAAGCGCGCATGCATGATTTGTGCCCGAGAGTTTTTTTCCTTCCAAAGTAGCTGGAGAGGTCATGGTACCTGTTTTTCAGGGAGGCGTGGGTGTTTTAGCCTTTTGTTGTGGGTGGGGGTGGCAGGGAACATGGCAGCTCTTTAGAAGTCCCAAGCCCCCCCCCCCACCCCGCCCCCGCTTTTTCCCCAATGTTCCTTTGGCACGCGGCAAACTTCCTGTGGTTAGCAAGGGAGGGATCCTTCAAGCAGAGCCCGAAGCAAGAATTGGCCAACTGAAGCCTAGACCGTTTGGAGCCAACGTTTTTCTTTGGAAGAAGCGGGGAACTCCCAAGAGGTCTGTGCAATCCGCCTGTGCATATGGTCAACAGCTCAACCCCCGTATTGGGATTTGGCTGTACGGTTGCACCCTCATCCTTTTGGCAGGCTTCCCTTTTGCGCCACTGGTCGCACTGGTTGCAACCGGGAGAAGAGTAAACGAGTGGTAAGTCAGCCCTTGGGGGGAAACTTTCGACATTCTGAAGCACGCTGGTTGCACCTGTGCGCATGCCTTCAAGCCAGCACCGCTGACTTTGACGGTTCCTACGGCTTCTCAAAGTGTCTTTGGCTGCAAGGCCCAGGTTTACCAGCTGATTCAGAGGATCCCCATCAGGGGAATTTCCATGCAAATTAGGGGGTTTTGGGATGTATCCTGAAACCCCCCTACCTCAATAGAAAGCGTACCTCGCACACCTTTTAAGGACCACCGCACACCTTTTAAGGACCACCGGCGCTTGCCTTGCCACGTGTCCGCAGGTGGGCCGATGAGCCCCGTGGCGCAGGCCTGCCGCTTTTGCGGGTGATCTCACCACTGTTATGAGGAACTTACGAAAATGCGCCTGTAGGCACAGCTGCACATACAGACACATACAGACACATGTGCGCATGCATGCATAGCAAGTTTGTACATGCATTGCATAGATTTGAAGAACTGGGCATGTGCACAGTGATGCGGCAGGGGGGGTTGAAAGAGCTTCTAGCGCTTGTATATAGAGCTACCCCAAAAAGTTGCATGGGCGCGCATCGGACCCGGTTCAAGTGACCTTGCAAAGTGAACATTTGTCCTGAATGAACCGACCTGTAGCGAGCAAGCAACACCAGGTTCACACATCCCACGTCATGGTTTCCAAGCCACTTTGGTCTGTGAATTTTCACTTGTTGCACGGCCCACAGACCCGCATACCAGACCCCTTTTGCAGAAATATTACGAACAGTTTTCGGGCTACCCTTACTTATCCGTTCTTTACTCGGGCGGATCTTTCGCCTGGTGAAACTTTGGGTGTAGTCTAATGGTAGCTTTCCAAAAGGAGAACCCTTTATTTCTGGGTCCTTTTGGGGCAACTGAAGACGCACACAAAACAGCTGGCTCTTGAGAAGGAAATGCGGAATCACCCTTTAAGCAAGCCATCATCGCCATGCCTGATGGCCCACATGCCGTTCAGGTCCAGGGCGACGACTCTTCAACTGGCGCGGGTCCGAGATAAAAAATGTTGAGGATGGTGGTAGTTGGACCAAATCAGCAGGGCAAGATGCCAACCACCAATGCAATGATAGGTGCTCAATCAGCAAGGATTTTTGGGGGAAGCGCAGGAGGATGGCGCGCCCGCGCGTGTGTCACAAGAGCATGGCGTGCATGTGGTTCATCAGGTCCTGCCCTTGCTTGCTTGCAGAGCGCTGGTGGTTTGGAATGTTCAACATGCCGAGGGCAGAGTTGAATCCACCCGTGCTGCAGGAACGCTTGCAGGGAAGGGCTATTCCAAATTATGGCCGAACACTTGATTGCTATTGGGTTGGATCCTTAAGACTTTAGCTTGTGTTTTTTGGACTTCACACGGGTTTCTCATTAACCCCCCAAAAAATAAACTTTTTGCAGAGGGGACAACAGCAACCCAAGCAAAGGACGGTTTGATATCAGCACACTTGTTGGCGCTTGCGTGTGTTGTCTAAAGTCGCTGCCATGAAACCGTGAAGCGGTGCTGAGCAGTTTTTTTGCAGAAGGCTGCCTATGTTATAGCGAGCTCACCGATTCGGGGGGTAACACGAGCTTGCCGTGGTAAAGATAGTTGGTTGAAAATCCCTTCTTTTAGCTTTTGGACATATTGTAAACATGCAGATAAGTGTGTGAATAGAAAGGTTCGGAATGTATCTCTAACTCCAGCCCACGTACCTGAGTTTGGGTTTCTGTTTTTGCCCCCTGCAATGGACCATCTCAGCTCTACCCCATGTTTTCGGGTTTGGTGCTACCGTGGGTTTCCTACTTAAAGGGCCGTTCAATTCGGTACGCCAGACAAGTGGTGAGAGCAAGCCTGGTTGTAACCCACGGAAGGGAGACTTATAACTTAGAACCGTGGCTTCTGTGGGTTATAACCATGGTTACTACCCACGTACCTGACGTACAATGCCCCTTTAAGTAGGGGTACGGTGAGTTTCCCTCGGGGTGATGGGAAGCCACACTTCTCACGTCAAAGCGAATTGCCCGTTGAGGCAACTGGCGGACCTGGACAACGGTGGCCGGGTGGACGGGGAGTTAATGCACTACGAAGATCTCAATCGCGATGTCGATGCTTACTCCTACCAGGCTTGGGTGCTTGGGGGTCTTCCAGGGAACGGTTTGGATGCGCTGTTTGTGAATTTTGTTGTTCTTCCCCAAGTTGGTCCTCTTTTAGTAGACAAGTACTCTTTTACCACATGCAAGCTGTTTTCGAGAGGTTTGGGACGGGGCGGAAGTTCCAGGTAGACCCCCGACACTCAGGTCATTGCCAGACTTCTCGAAGCCTGGATCTCCCTTTGAGCCTTTTGGGTCTCTTTTGTGCCTTTGGACCAGCTGAAGAAACCAACAACTATTTGGAGGGGCTTGAATCCATCCGACGGCTTAAGGATGTTTATTTTTTTTTTTTTTTATTTTTTTAAAATGAGAGTCTTAGGGTACCCAAGGAGAAAAGCTAAAGAGGCTCGCAAGAGGTTGGTACCTGCCTGGGGGATCTGACATTTCACCTCAGGAGGTGTGACTCGCTTCACTTGCGAAGTCCAACTGTTCCACTTGTTGCTCTCAGAAAGTCCGTTTTGCAGCAGTCTGAACCCAGTGGTTGAAAGCCGACCTTCTTGACCCTTTGTGTTCTCTTTTTGGGTCCACGTTTAGACAAGTTGCCAAAAGGCCCACCTTTTGTTTCCAAGTCCTTTGGGCAAACCAGGGGCAGGCCGAACAAGCAATAGTTGCAGTTGTGCTGCCACCCAACGAAAATCCATTGGCTCGTGCTAAGCCATTGGCTGGCAGTGGCATGCAGGCTGCAGCTGTTTGTTGAAGGGAAATTGCTAATTACGGGGTTTTGGGGATGTGTCACAACCAAACATGCACATCAAACTGGGGGTTGCCAAGGTAGTTACTCCACGGGAACCTGTTCTTGTGCATGTCCTTGCCGGAGTTGTGTGGTTGAATGTGTTGCTTCACGTGCAACAGAGGCTTTTGTGACTTGCGGCTGTCCAGCGTCGACCTTTTTGCCTTTCCCAGATTGGGCCATGTAAGGGACGTCGTTGTGAGATGACCTGTTTGCAAGTGAGCCAGTAGGCCGCCTAATGTTGACCCCATATTCATCAACCCCAGTTCATCAATAGGGTGTGTTCCCCTCGCAAAGGTGATAAATCCCCCACCAAACCCAGGGACTCCCGGACACCCCCCTGTTCGTAAACCGGGGTTGATTCATATGGGTTGAGTCTCAGCATCTGCTCGGAGGGAGCAAGCCCTTGATCTGTTGCCACGCTCGCAGCTGCTTGCTCGAGAAGCTTGAAGCCTGGCCTCTGGGAGTCTACACCCGGTCATTGAAAAGCTACCTGACCGACCAGCAAGTGAGTGCTCACACCCTCCTCCCAGCAAGGTTTTGAAGAGCCCTTTGGAGCGCCTTGCAAACAAGGTTCTAAGCGCCTCTCTGAGGGGGACATGTTGGCATTAAGCCAAAGCGCATTAAATTCGAATGCTCTCCGAACCACTCCAGACCATATAGAGCCACTCCAACCACTGCCAATTGCTCAGGAGAGACTATTGGATTCAGAGCTCAGGGACTCTCTTACAGTGCTTAAAGGGGCGATCGATTCGGATCGTCAGGTATGTGGTGAGAGTAAGCCTGGCGAAAAACAACACTTAGACTTGTAAATCATGGTCTTTGTGGGTTGTTGTTATCACCATGATTATTACCCACCACGCCCCTCCAAGTAAAGGTCAATTCCCTTGGCTTCCGACTCCAAGCCACTCGACGTGACTGCCTCGCCTTGCTGCTTGGCCCTTTTGGGTTTCCTCGATCCCTATTTTCCCATTGAACACGGGCAACGTGTTACATCACTTGCAGGGGGCCAGCAAGTCAACAAGCAAATTTTGCTCCGAAGTGCAGTAAGTCTGGCCAAGTCGAATGCTTTGCGCTTCATGGCGGAGGGCAACGCCGAGGCTCTTTGGGGGCGGCGCTCGCTTGGGTCAGTGAAGAAAAGACCCACGTCCCATGTGTCCGTGAGTCGCGCATACAAAGAAAGCCTTAAGAAGAGCAAATGTTGGTTTTATCTTGGGAAAACGAGGGGTTGAGGGTGTGTGATGCTATGAAGGGGGTATGTCATGGCTCAATTGGCACCTGGCTCACGGGAAATTGGTAATCAGAAAAAGGTGCTACGTAGGCCACGTTTTTTAGTTCTTCCCAAGGGGGCCCGCAAGCGGAAGGAACATGCTTTTTATCATTGTGACAGGGCTGGGCAAAGTCATACCCTGGTCATCTTCAAAAGAAAACCAAGTGAGGTTGGCGAAGCAACGGGTTGAACATGTTTAAGCTTGAAACAAGTGGGCTGGAACCCTGGCATGTTCTCAAGGAATGGGTTCTCAGGGCCACTTCAGTACCTGGGTTCCCAGGCGTTGTGTTTCACATGTTTCAGGTACAATTAGTTGGTGGTTTGGATTGGTGTTTGGAGATTTGAACCCTTTTTTTACGGGGTACATGGCAAACAACGCCTTAACCACCAAGCAACCACTGGGAAACCAAACCACGAATTGGAGGGAACCTGCTTTTGCGGCAAAGAATGTGTTTTTTGCATTTTGTTTGGAGCAACGCAACTCATCACGCCTGCGAGGACTCACCGAAAGGTGCGGTGCACAATCCAGTGCTGGAGGTGCCCTCACAGAGCCTGCAGCTGGCCAAAGCCCGCCAGCGTGCGGCAGGGCCGCGATGATTCGGGTCAAGGGGGTACTCATTCTACTCTCTCTCCAACAATGGAAGCGGACAGGAGGTTTTTTGAAGACTGCCATCCTCTTGAGGCCCCTTGCCCACTTCCATGATTGTTGGAAAAGAGGTATATCTGTGCATCTTATATCTTCTTGCTGGTGCGATGGCTAGGGAACGACCGGTCTGGGTGTTGGGAACGAACCGGAAGGGGATCCCCTGAAAGGAAACCAGAGGATGGCTTGCTTTTGTTGGGGTCATTCCATGTCTCATTCCCTGCTGAGAACCAGCAAGTCTTTACCCTTGACTAAAAAGATGTCAGAGAAGATTTGCGCTAGGTTTGGGGTCGAATGATGGCCGTTAAATCAAATTGCCTCACGATCCTGAAGCAATATGCCGAATTTCAGGTGGGCTCACTGATCCGGGGGGAAAGCGAACTCGCCATGTCGGTCCTTCACCTTTTTTTGATGAGTGTAGGACTGCAGATCGAGAGATGGAGGATGTTGCACTTTCCCGGCCCACAGAAACAAAAGCATCAAACGCCCAGCGTTAGCATGAGCTCGTCAATCCGGAAAGGGAGTTTCAGGTCCCCCCCCCCCCCAGCCCACACTGGTTGGAAAACAATCCTTAATCCTTATGCAGGCGGCCGGGTGGCTTCCTTTGAATCACGGATTGAAATTTCCTGGGGTCTCACATTTGAGCAACCCAGCCTGAAGGGCGCTGAACGCTCTAAAAAGGCACATGTTGCGGGCCTGGGGTATTGAAAAGGCGGGGCAAGGCACCAGGGTCCAAAACGGCCAATCTACCTTTATGCCGCCCCAAAATTGTTGTCGCACCTCTTTGTTTTTCTGGCCCCTAATGTGATTGATTTCCGGCCGTTGGTGCATCATGTTCGGTGCCCTTGTTTCCTTCTTCCGCACAAGATTTCTGGGGAAGGGTTTCCCCTTTAAATCAAAGCAACAGGTGGCTCTTGTTTTCCCGCGGCTGGGGTCTGTTATGTGACGCGAAGGTCTTCCCGTCACGGATATAGAAGCTCAGCGGAGTCCATGGAAATCTCGGGCTGGCTTGGTTCACCCGTGGTTCTACTGGAAGTGTTTCATGTGGAAAGTCAGTTTAGGGCCACTTTTTGTTAGCCTGGGCAATCTGCGCTTTTTGTCATGGGAATCAGGCATGCCAGATCTCGGGGCCTTTCCCGCAATCATGGTGGATGCCGGACATACTGCAATTGGAACATGTACTAAACCATTCGTCGTAATTTTGTGGTTCCTTCATTTCCCTTTTTGGAACCTCCAGTTGTGACGATCGTTTCAATGGAAACCAGTAAATTGGTCAATTTGATTCGGGGAAATCCAGCGACCCCTGTTCTCCCCCCGGCCATTTCTCCCCCCGGCCATTTCTCCCCCCGGCCATTTGACAGAAGATCACCACTTAAAGCGGCTGGGTACCTAGTAAGTGGTTCGTAAGCGTGGTTGTAACCCACTGAGGAGACTTATACCCGTGGCTTCTGTGGGTTATCACCATGGCTGCTACTCCCCCACCACTCCTCACACACCCTGGCCATGAAACCCCTCCAGAACCCGCCACACCAGGCCGTGGTTACGTACCGTCTGCGCCCCTTCAACCGCAGCGAGGTGGAGCTGCTCAAGGGCACCGAGCTGTCGCTCAAGAACCTACGCCTGCAGAGTTTGGAGGACATCCAACTGCAGGCGACGAGAGGGAACTGCCATGCGCCCATGGGCCAATGGGGCCGATGCTTCACCTCCACCAATCACAAAACCAAAAACAACGCAATAGTTACCCTCCCACCAGTTGACATGGAACCTGAAAAGGGGTCCGGAACATGACTCCCTGTCAGGTTCCAGGTTAGTCGGTGGGGGGTAACTCGCTTTTGATTGGTTTAGAGTGTCGAAATCCAAGCAGTAGACAAAGGTTAGGGTGCAATCGCTCAAAGCAGGTGCGGCTGGGTGCAACTCCGCGTGAGGAAGTTGGCTTTGAGACCAGGTGTTGCTATATGATCTCCTTAGTTTTGTTTCCTGCCTGCGCAGTTGTACTCTGTTTTTGTTGAAGCCGTCCTTTTCTGCAACTAGGAGCCTGCTCTGTCATTGTGTTTTCATGGAGGATTTCCAGTTCGATTGTTTCCCCCGAGCCACTGCCCCAACCGGAAAATGGAGGTTTGTTTCGCTATATAGTGGTTAGATGAAAGATGTACGCCCAGTTACTCACTAGGGGCAGTGGTTTGGAGGTAGTGGAACTTTCGTGGAAAAAGACGTAGCGTCATGTGGGTGAGCTACCTCACTTTTGGGAACCCTGAGGAACCCCTGGCATTCCATGGCAAATTTGGTTATGTACTGTACCCTTTCTGCACCCGTCAAATACTTCGACGTGTGTGGTTTGTTGCAGGGGTACCTACCCAAGTGAAACGTGGCTGGGAGGGGCAGAACCATGTTCCTGCTAAGTCCCTTAAAGAGAACATGTTGAAGGATTTTCAAAATTACGTTTGGGTGTGGCTTCCCTGCACACATGATGAAGGTCCTTCACTTAGGGGCTCCTCTGATAGTCAGTTCGGGAGTTCTAGTAATTAGCCATACTCATTCGAGGTGGTCCTCCTTTCAGTGGGAGATCGATTCATTGTAAGGTTCCTGTAGATTAGCCTCCAAATGAATCTGAAGTTAACATTGTTGTTACATCTTGCAACCAGGTTTCCAGTACATGACAATATCTGTGTTTGTTTTTGTTTAGGGGTGCCTTTTTTGGTTTGCGGGGAGGGGGGGGGTTGGGCTCAAAGGGAAACAAGGAAACCACTCATTTCATGAATTTGACGTGTGATTGTGTTGTTAGGGTGCCCGTTTTTTCTTGCGGCGGCGGGGGGGGGGGGGGGGGCGGGGGCTAATCAGTCAGTTGTTGCATTTGACGTATGCTCATTGGTTAGGCCAGGTTAGAGCCTGTTGCCAGGCCTTGCCCCAGCTCACCGTGCTGAACTTGTCGGGGAACTGCTTCACCTTCGAGGGCCAGCTGGCTCCGCTCAAGTGCCTCAAGGCGCGATGCGCATGGCTGGCCAACGAGGGGATCGGCTTGAGTCACTTCCAGTTGCTGAACCAAATGTTTTTGTTTGTTTTTGTTTGTATTTTCCCCGGTTGGTTTTGGGGGGAATCGATCTCAGTACGGGATTTGTTTCCAGTGGACTTAAGCAAATGAAAGATCACGTGTTAGTCGTACACCACACGTTCGGACTGGTTTTGGCTATTGAACTGAGAAAGCGGGTCGTGTGTTTTTTTGTTTAAAAGGGGACGGATTTTCTAGAACCTGCTTTCCATCCACGAGCCATATGAAATAATATTTGGGTAGTATCCTAATTGAACTGCTTCAATCGGGGTCGCCCTGACCCTCAAAACAATTGTCCAGCCACAAGGGTAGACCATGATTGGTGTTGGCATAGGCGTCCTTTTAAAGTTAGTTTGGTTAGAAACAGACGGCACTGGTTTAGATTGGTGTTCTTTAGTTCGCCAGGGCCACCTGTTTTGCCAAAAGATCACTTATGGGTGGTGGGTTTTTTGCCAAATGTCAACCTTGTTTATGGGCACCATCTCAAGTTGAAATCCGCGCGGATTCAACTGGCTCCATAATTTGACCCAAAGTCACCTAAGTTGTAGGTTAAACGGACACACCCTCATTTGCGTACTTGTTCCCGCAAAAAAAAGAGAGGCCAAAACAACCCCAGTTCAACCAAAAGGAAGCCCGAATGTCATGTGTGGGGGGGTCCAACCTTTAAACAACACACACCATTTTAATTTTTTCTCCCCCCCCCCAAAAGAAAAAAGAAGAAGAAGCAAAAACACAAAGAAAACACAGACACACACGCACACGAAGAAACAGGAGAAAAGGTAAGACACACCCAAAGGTCCCCACACGGAAACGACCAGGAGCTGGACCTGTCCCACTGCAATCTCAGCTGCCTGCCCCGGCTGCCGCGGTTCTTGTGGGGCGGCCCAGGCTTCCACGTGCGGAGACACGGAAAAGAACCACCTGGAGTCTCCATGACCCTTGAAAAATATTTGGTGCATGTTGCTTGGATGGTAGAACTTTAACTGTTTGCCAGCTAATAGGTTTTCCATTAAACCACCAAAAGTTAAACTTGTAGCAGGGGAGCAGAAAGCAACCGACAAATGGGCTGGAGCAGGGTTCCACTTTTTGACTACCCCAAGATAGGCTTAAACCCAGGGGGTCCGCTTTTGGGAGTAATGACCCACCCCTGGGTTTAAGTCTACCCTGGGGTAGTCAAAAAGTGGAACCCTGACCTGGAGTCTCCATGATCCTTGAAAAATGGGGTCATTACCCAAAATCATGGGGTCATGATGTTATCAACCCATTTTTTAAGGGTCATGGAGACTCCAGAAACAAAGATGTGGAGAAACGTGGCGTTTCCAGAAATCCGTCCGAGTTCCAGATGTTTCTGCATGTGAGTGGTTCAATCTGGCCAGACAAAAAACCGTTGGTTTTGACTTGGTTGATCTTGGTTGTTCTTGTCAAATTTGAAGTCAGGCTACCTAAAGGCTAACCCTTAGGTTTCAGGCGTTTTTTGCAAGTGAGAAGGTTTAAAAGTGCCGTGCCCACTCACCGAACACAATTCCAAATGCAAACAACTGGATACATAGATTAATGCTAAAACAACATGTAAGATTCAATGTCTTTTCTACATGTGTTTTGGTTCTTGTAGGTATGGCCCAAATGTATGTGGCCTTCAACCCCCTGTCCGGTCGAATGAAAGCAGGTATGCAATGCAAGCCCTTTTGCGTGCCCTTGAGCACTCTGCGCAGTCCTTGCCCAACGCGCTTAGGGCGACACTGCGGGCGGGGTGGAACCAACTTCGGACGCCCTGCAACGTCGCCAGCAGCCCTCAGTTGCAGGAAGGGCGCAGCCAGGGAAAGGCACGGAACGGAAGTGCTTCACGGGGCCAAAATACAAATTGGCCGTTGGAGTAGATGGTTCATACGCGTTGGATTATGGGGGCGATGTAAATTGTACACCTTTACAAGCACATTGGTCAAAGGAGTCAATGAGTTTCGGGCGCCGCTCCTTCGGTCCCGTGTTTAGAGGCTGCAAAAAAGAGTCTTTGTTACTTTTTATTGCCAGGGTTGGCACAGGATTGCTTCGAAGGACGCGGGATGAATCGAAAAGGGTGGGGTGCTGACATCAAATTCCTGAGAGGTTCATGTGAAAATGCTTGATGCGCCAGCTAGTTGTCAAGCTTCTAATTAACTAAAGAGACGTAAAATCAAACGCAGTCCTGCTTTTCCCTTCACCCAGTGTTCGGTGCACCCTTTTTCCCTTTTTGTATTTGGGTTTCCGAGATTGTGAACCCAAGAAGGGTCAAGGTCACAAAATGCAAAGCAATTTTTGCCGGATTGTTCAGAATCGATGCTTAAATCCATGTTCCAGATGGTAGTGGCTTTCCCGGTTGTAGATAGTGGTGTTCCACTACGGAGTACGGATTTTCCTCCCCCGCATTTGCAAACAAAAGTTTGTGGGGCTAAAGCCTTGTGGGGACACTCAGGGAATTCAACTTCCAGGGTGGTGTTCGAACAGTTGAATCCACTGTCATTTGTCAAGTATCAATATCAAACATGACACGGGCCATTGGACTCTACAGAAAGTCAGATACTGGCTACCTTCAGAAGGGAGGGGGTGTGCATGTATATTTGGCTGCAAGTGTCCACTCAGTTTTGTACAGCTGTCCCTCACACAACGCTCACCCCCAGGCCCATACACCAATGGCCCAACATCTCTGCCTCACGGCATTGCGGAATTTCATTGGTCTCCTCGGGACGATTAAATGCAAGTTCGCTGACTTTGCCCTTTTTGGGTCTGTTTAGCAGGAACTTCAGTGGTACGGCAACGAAGTGACAGCTATAGTTCTCTGACAGATGCCAAGAGAAGAACAAGCGCACGCGAAGCATGCCCACCCCCACCCCTTTCAAGATAGCGGCCATGACTTTCTGTAGGGAGGTGAGTTCCACCATCACTACACCCACCCCCTTTCATGTACACCAAAGCACCATACTTTACCGTGGAGCTTCTGAAGCCCCAGCTGCCATTTGAGCTCCATTTGGGTTCCCGAGCTTCGGTCAACATTGCTTTGCTCACGTTCTTTTCTCCAAGCCGAGGGGCTCCATTGGCATAGTTGCTTGAAATGCGGGGGGGTCTATGCTTTCTGGTTTTAAAGGACAGCTTGCAGCTTCATGTTGCCTGCAGCTTGTTTCTCACATGTCGCGTTTTTGGGGGGGGCAGTAGAATGAATGGCCGTTGGGGCGGGTCCTTTTTTGAGGTTCATGAGCAGGCAAAGTAGGAGAAGTACTCATCGCCTGTCAGGAGCGTGCCCGAATTTTTGGGTGCTTCATTGGTTGGGCCGTTGCAGCTTCAACTTTCGGACACTTGTGAGATGTCATCTGCTCATTAAAACGGTTTCTCCTTCTAAACCACCGAGCCACCGGGCTCCAAACCACCCTTTCCGAGGGAAGCTGAAGCGTGTCACATGTGTGTCTTGGGCAAGCCCCAAAAGTGGGCACAGGGACTGGATGGCCAGCTCAAAGAGGAAAGTTGCCAGGAGCTTTTCCTGGACCACAACCGCCTTGGAAGCACTGAGCAGTTGGAGACTTGGCAAAAAATGATCATTGCCTTCGCTTCAATGGAAAATCTATGAGTTGCTTAAACAAGCCCTGAAAAAGGATCACAGGATCGTCGTTTTTGTTGGTCTTCAGTTCCTGTAATGGATCAGGGACGCCGAGACGGCGCATCGAAACTTCACTGCATTCGCTTCGCCGACGCTTGCAACCGGCTTTTGTTTTAGCCTGTCAAGCGATGTGCAGCAATGTCACGTCGAAGATCGTCGAAGTATATTGGGTCAGTTCACCGGGTGAAATGCTGTCCTTGGTCGGGAGCTACTTCCCCTGATCGGAAATGTGAGCATGTTTTATCCGCAGTGATGTTGGTTTAACCAACCAGCTGCTTAAGAGAGTCCAATTTGATCGATTTCCATGTGAGCAGTGCGCCCGCATTGCCTTTAGTAGGTGGTCCTACTACCTGACTTCGCAGGGAATATGGTGATGAAAAGTAAACCAAAAGTCAGTAGGTGTTCGGTGCTTGCTTCGGTTCATTTCGGTTCCCGTTTCATCATCCTTTTCACTTTCCTGGCTTTAATCTCTTTTTAAATCCATTTTGCTGGCAAGCCACAATGTTTGACTTGGGCCAATCCACTTGGAAAGTGTGTAAAACGTGTATACGCCCCCCAACCAAAAAGGGTTCCCTTCCGCCAAATCAGGTTCTCATAAACATCGCATGCGTCAAAAAAAGCAGGAGCCTGGTTACGGGCCTGGACCCATTTAGATTCTTAGCTCAGGCGTTGGACGCGTTGCTCACGGTTTCTCTTGCCTCCAGGGTTGGCATGATGGTTTCCCAGCTTATCTTTGTCAACAAATCTGGTATTTTCTGGTCCGATCGGGAGCCTTGGCGGTGGGCAACTCGCCAACTTCCCTGCAAACGGAGAAACATGCTTTGCAAAGAAGCCAGCTAAGCATAAAGCAACTGCGCTCAGTGCGATGATGCCTAGGCCAGTGACGCCTAAACCAGGAACACCTAAAGAAACCCGTCACTCATCTGTGCCATGGGTCAAAAGCCATTCTTGGGGCCAAGATGTGTGGAGGTTCAATACCACTGAAGTGCCACACTGCATAAGCCCCGGAAGCGCCCTTGATCCATGTCAAGTTGGGTTTGTTTTGTTGTTTGGTGTTGCCCCCGTACCCCCTTTGGGTTGGTTTTTGAAGGGAACCCACAGGGAAAACCGAAATCCATGTTGAGGGGTCCACTTGACTTCGGACGAGCCGCCCAGTTAGGAGATGCTTCTGGACCTGCGACTCCTGGACTTGTCGGGGAATTGCCTCACCTCGCCGCAGTGCTGACCTAAGACCGGTTCTCAAATTTACGTTGGGGTAGAGGCGCCCTGAAAGCAAATGAGGCTTCTTCCCTTGTGGATTTTGCTTTTTTTCGGGCCTGTGTCTTCCACTAACCAGGCAAAATATTTATTTTTTTCTGCTATGGTCCTAGTTCCAGCCAAGGGTTTGTTGTTTTGCATAGGGGGGTGTCCCCGGAAAATGGATTCAACATGTCAGACCACTTTTGGAGAAAACGACCCCCCCAAAATAGGACACTTGAAGGGGCCTCAGGTAAGGTGTTAGTAAGCCAGCCTGGTGAGAGAACCCACTGAACGGAGACTTATACCCATAGCTTTTGTGGGTAACCAGGTTTGCTAACCGCTTACTAAGTACCCTGTCCCTTCAAGTAGTTGTCTCAACCGGGTCAGATCCGGCTGCATGGTCATTCAAAAACTCTCTTCTTGAGTTCCGTTTCGGACTTAAAGCTTTTTGTGGTTGGACCATGCTTTAGCCGTATTTGAATAGTTTGGACTTTTTGTTGGCAGGAAGTGAGGAAAAGTAGGCGCCTGAAAGTGAACGAAGGTTTGTGGGCTCACTCGATGTTCTGCGAACAGCCGATTTGGTGGGCGGGTTCCCTTGCTTTCCCTTAAAACATGGCTCCTTGAAAGTGGTTAGTGCGTTTGGAGGGGTTGACAAGTTTACCCCCGGTGGTTTCCATTCATCCACCACTCAGAGGGCAATGTTTGAGAATGTCCAGATGTCAGGGAACCCTCAGGAGGGCTCCTGGACTACCTACCTCTTGGGAGGCCGTTTTAGTGGCCAACAGGCACTTTGGACATTTTTGTTGGCCAATCCACTTAGATCTTCCATGAAAATAGCGTCCTCTCAAGGTCTGCCCAGGCAACGGTTGCTCCCCTCAGGGCTGCTCAACCAACTCTTATGGAACCTGGCCGGTGATTGCTCCCAACCATGTGGCAAACTACCAGCCCTGTCCTCTGTTGAATGGAATTCAAGAAAAAGTCGTTGACGCCTAAGCAGTTTAAACCTTTGGTTTAGCACTTGAAAGGCGGGTTGGACGTCGAATTTGAAGGGTAGCCCTTCGGCGGTTAAGGGAAGTCGAGGTATCAGACTGCATGTCAGCATGTCAAGGCTTGGCCAGTTTCCCTCAAACTTGCGAGCGAGCCACGCACAAAAAACCCTGAACTTGGCCAAGGGTTGAAAACACATTTCGGTGTTCCAGTTGGTTTCCCTACTTACTTTCAGGTTCTTGGGAGTTCCATTCCGGTTTTCCGATGTGCCCAACGTGTAAGTAAGCACCCTACGTCGGCCCCGACAGGCGCTGAACCTGCCCAAAGGGAACTCAGAGCCTCAAGAGTTTCTGCACTTGTGTCACCTTTTGGGAGGCAGCTTGGACTTGAATGACCAACCCACTCAGGAAGTAAGCTGCCCAAGATTCTTCACGTACTCATACTCTTTGAGAAAACTTTGGAAGTGAGTTATGGCTACAACCTTCCCACAACAACATCCTCCTTCCCACACACGCACACAAACACCCCCACACCCCCACCCCAACACACCCACACACCCATACACCCACACACCCCCACGCGCACGCGCACGCCCCACGCGCACGCGTAGCGATCGCGTAGCGATCGCTTGGCGGCTGGCGGTGATTCGAGGCGGAGCTTGCGGCCCTTGGCGGCCTGCGCGAAGCTTCAGGAGCTGCAGCTTCGGGAGAACCCCTTAGCCAAGGAGGCGCTACATCTCGGCTTCGGGTGGAAAATAAACGTTCCGACTGTTTTTGGCCAATCCGCTCAGGACTTTAAGTTCAGACTTTTTTGTTGCATCCCGATCTGAAGTGACCCTTTGGTCTAACATGCGTGACCGATTCGCCCCTTCCTTTTTGGAGATATGACAGGTGTCCCTAACCTAGTTATTGCCCTGTTTGTTTTTTTTTTTTTTTTTGGCCCTTGAAAGGTGAGCGTTATTGTGGGGGGTGATGTTTTGTGGGGAAGTATAGGGAGCCCTGTATGACCGACCTTGTGATCAGAGGGGCTTTGACCCAGTCTTGCCTCACTCCCTGTAGTGGACACAAAGAGTGTGGAAATGAGTTGCTGAGCGCCGGGAGTCGCGAGTGGGGCGAAAGAAGACGCCCTATGATTGAATTGTTTTGTTGGGTAGGTGGGAGGCTGGGTGTAGTAAAAAATCGCGTTTATGGAAAGGCAGACAATGTTGGATAATGTCAAAGCCCACTTCAAGCAAACCCCTACGGGTGAATGGGAAAGGCGTTCCGTTCCGCCCAGTGATTTGGAGCCCCTCTTAAATGTTGGTCCTCAATCAAAATCAAACCCTGGTTGATTGGGTTTCCATCATGTTTGCATCTCGCTTGTGTGCAAGTGTCGCCTTTTCCGGAAGATACATCTTGGACAGGATTGTTTCAGGTCAGTGCCTGACCAACTATGAATTCCATTGGTTACACCTTGGTTCTATCCATCATTTCCCCTGTTTGGCATATCTGGTTCACTTCTCCAAAGCCAAACGGAAATTTGAGGAATTAGTAGCCCCATATGTGTTTTTACTTTACCCGAAGAAAGCCATGGTACTCAGTTGTTGGTGCTTGCCAGGGCAAGCACCGGGCGATGGTGGCGAGCATGTTCCCGTCCTTAGCATCTCGGAAGCATTTGCCATCTCAGGTCGGGGTTGCGGGGCTGGCTGGTTGCCCCGAGAGGGGAAAGCCTTTAGCTTTTGCCAAAAGAACTGGCGCCGAGTTTATATTTGGCTTGTATGGCTTTCCCTTGGGCACAAGGTCGACAGAACAAAAGGCCATCCAACAGTGACTTTGACTAGTTGATTTTGGTATGGGACCCCACCCACACAAAACAAAGGGGTAGAGCCACTCCCCAGCCACTACCATTTTCAGCTTCTAGGGATCCAGAATTTGCCAGTGGCAGTGGAACCCTTCTATCCTATGTTCAATCTTTCAAAGGAGATCTGGGGCCAAGACGGGCCGCTGAGGTCCTCTTGGACGGCACGGCCCTGCGCCATCACAAGCCCCCCGCGTCGCCCGCTGCGAAGCCGCCCGCGGCTGATCGGCGGCGCCGGGACGAGCGGACGGAGCGGGAGCCGGCGTCCTACCTGAGGCAGGGCGAAGGGTCAAAGTCAGAGGTGTTCCGCTCGCTTGTGAGCGGGGTGTTTCACTAAGCCGTCCCAACGCCTCACGTTGGATCTTGCGCGCGGGGCAGTTCAAACACCCCAAAACACCGTACACTTCCTGTGGGGCTCATCGGTTGCCGCGCGCTTAAGTGTTAGTAAACGTGCCCCGAGATGGTTCGCTGTCTTGCTTTTCCTTCGGTGCTGGAGCCAACGTTTGTGGGAGCCCTGAACATGCCATATTGCCGGTCATGACCAGCTCTCCGCCAAGATGTAGGAAATTAAGCAAATAAGAGTATAGCTCTCAGTTGGTGAAGGGGAAAGTCCAGGTACGCCCAACAGGGTTGTTGGAAAAGCCTTACCATCACACTCAGGAAATTGGGGAGGGGCAGATATGCGGTTCCAACTCTAGTTCCTCCGGTTTCAGCATTGCCCGTCAGGCCGTCAGGCCCTATTTGAGTTGCCTTTTGGGAGATTCAAGCCAGTTTACGTGTTAGACACGTGCTCTAGATGGACACAGATCCTAGATCCCGGCTCCAAAAGACAAGTCTGCCAAGCGGTGCACCAAGCCACGTGAGTCAATATTCCTGTCATCCCATGTGAAGGGCTTTGAAATCTCAACTCGCGCCAGGAATTAGTTGGGCCCGTTCTGATGCCATTTCCTGGCCTCGTCGGCAGGCCTACGGTGTGCAGCAAGCAGTGGCGGTCCCACAAGTTCATTCCCCCAGACACCCGGGACGCTGGGCGCCAAAAACTCGCAAACCATGTGGGTGGGTCTTTTAGGGCATCGCCAATGCCAAAGGGCAGAAAGGGGCACTCTCAAGAACATACCCATATGGTGACATTTGTGGTGGGACCTGGCATGCCTTTTTGTTGGGGGCAAAAGCTGAGTAGGGTCTAGGGAACTAATTACTGAAGGTATCGTGAGAAGGGTTTCTATTGCAGGAGGGGTGGATGTGTCAATCATTGGCCCTAAATGTCCGATTCCTCAGGGAACCTTGCGGAGATCTATGGGCTTCTTGCGGGTTCGTGCTTGCTCCCCTAATGCCTTGCCTTTTTTTTTATATTCTGCTTATCCTCACCCAGGCTTCCCATGGCTTCCCATGTTTTTCATTCATTACACACCCACATGAACGAACTTTTTTTTTGGGCGCAAACGACGATTCACGGTTTCATGGGATGACTGATTTCCAGCTGTGTGCAAGATGAGTTGACTTTCCCTAAAGCTCGGCCGGCCGAGTTGCTGAGTGGGGGATGGGATGCAATACTGTGGATGAGCACAATCCTGGTGCGAACGGATTTCGTCCATCCACAGTATTGGTCTCGGGTCCCTTTTTCAAAGCAATTTGGTTTTGTTCAGGAACCAAACCCACAGAGTAAAGATGTATTCTTGCAGGGACCTTTGTACCTGGCTAAAGGGGAGCTAAAAGGACTCCAAACTGTGGCGGTCACCTGAAGAACGCCACCTGTTCACTGAGTGTTAAGCCTACCCCGCGGCCAACCTGATCTGACGCTTGGCTTTCCAAGGTCTTCTATTGCTCAACTCTTGCCACTCAAGCCAAGCACAGATCCACGAGGTAAGCTGCTATTAGCGTACGGGCGCAACGATGTACGGGTTTGTGCATTACTGGAGGTGGTTGAAAGGTAATTTCCTTTTGAGTCTTTGGTTGGTTCCATGCAAGTGGGTGGAAGGGACAAGTTGGGCGAGCTGGTAAACTTAGGCAAGTTTGATCAAGCTTGATTGCGACCGGGTTTCATGAACCGAATGAAGGCCCCTTTCACGTAATGTTGGTTTCTGAGTTGGTTTCGACCATTACGGCCCATGACCGAAATCCGCCATTGTTAGGACGGGTCGGTGCCTTTTGATAGGAAAGTCAGACAATAGCAGGAGCCATGACCCTTTTCGGGCTGATGCGCCCATGGGCACCCGAAGGGAAGCCGCCGGGCGGCTTCCGTTTGACGCCCAGGACAGCCAAGACCTTGCGGTGGTCGAGGCGGCGGCGCGCGAAGCTCAGGCGCCGCAGAGGAACTCGCAGAAGGAGCCGAGGCCGGGTCGTGCGCCGTTTCTTGGCGGGTCGCAGCCATCCGGTTCCTTTTTTTCCGGTTTTTAGGGTTTTTGTGGGTTTCCATTTTCCATGTAACCCACTAAAAGTTACGCTTTTAGCAGGGGATTTGAGGACAGCCCAAGTATGGTGGCCTCCCAGTACATTCTCGGTATTCGTCAGGTTGCAGAAGCAGGGGGGCTTTTCAGAACCCTGACGACATTTAGTGCCACTTTTACAAGAGTCCAGCAAGAGGGCAGCACACTTTTGCCAACTCCGTCGCGCAGCCCGTGACAAGTGCCTTCATGGATGGCTGTGAAGCGAAAGGATCATGACTTGGTTTGTCACCGTACATCGGCATGTTGCCTTCGGACTACTTCCCCAGTGTGAGGCGACAATCAGAAATTGCACGCGTGTGTGTGGAGTAGTTGCTTGGCAGGAGTACTGTGCCTTTGCATGGTTGTGGGTATAATCGGGTTGTGGTGTCACTGTTTGCGAAACCATTGGGGGAATTCAATGGGATGGCCATGCCGCAAGTTGGCGTCAAGATTGCCATGCTCAACATAAACCCATGCGTTGCTTGCATAAAAGTGGGAGGTGTTGGGCAACTGGCGCCTCACTTTCGGCTGCCTTGACACGATGTCTTCTGCCAGCAGCCCTAGTGCAGAATCCCTGAAAGGATACATTTGGCGAATAAAACTTCAACTTTCTTTTGCCGAGGATCCCCTTTTTAAAGCATATAAATTTTCAAATGTATCCTTGAAAGCCTGTTGGTTTGGTTGGTACTTGATGGTTTGGCCTGACTTGACTCCCGCAAATCCTTCAGCTGAAGCTTTGGGGTCTCTCATTTCTTTTGTGAGGAATCATGCTTTCTCAGGTAGCCCGTCAGGTGGGTGGTTTGGATTGGTGGCTGTGAACACCCCTGGCTATTTTCGGGAAATGGGGCACCATCCGCAAACCTCCAAAACCACCAATCCAAAACCACCAATCCAAAACCACCAATCCAAAACCACCAATGCAAAACCGCCAATCAGAGGGAGGCTGAATTTAGGACAGGGAAGGCCTGGCAGCATCGATGCCGCAGGCCAAGGGCGCGGAGTCAGCCGACGCGGCCCAACTTTCAGCCCCGGCGTGACCGCCACGCGGTTTCGGCCCTGGCGCAACCCGTGGAGAGAAAGGCCGCATGGCCGCATGGGGGGGGGGTGGGGGGTCGGCGAGTGAGTGAGGTGTTCCGGGGGTGGGTTGGATGGCTGAGTCTATTTGCCTGCTTGCTTGGCTGATTGGCTGGCTGGCTGGCTGCTTGGTTGGTGGGTTTGCGGGTTTGTGGGTGCTGTGCGTGTTTTCGTTTTTTTTTGTTTTCTCTGTCGCCTGTTGTTTGTCTTTCTTGTTTGCTACGTTGCCGGTTTGCTTGCTTGAGTCATGCTTTTCACAGGAAACCAAGGGAACCCTAGCAAAATTGGTGGAGAACCTATGGCGCCTGGGATCCACTGCCTGGGCTACTCTGCTGGTCTCAGCAGGTGCGGTGGGCTTCGGAGCCCCCCGAGCTCCCGGAGCCCGAGCCGGCGGAGCCTTCGGAGCCCGCGGAGGAGGATGAGCTGGCGGGTGCGGAGCATCTCACGCTGTGCCGAAACCTCATTGAGGCCCAGGGCGGGGGGGGGGAGGGGAGGGAGGGGAGGAGGGGAGGGGAGGGGAGGGGGAGGGGGAGGGGAGGGGAGGGAGGGGAGGGGAGGGGAGGGGAGGGGAGGGGAGGGGAGGAGGGAGGGGAGGGAGGGGAGGGGAGGGGAGGGGGAGGGGGAGGGGAGGGGAGGGGAGGGGGGGCGGGGGGCTGGTTGCAGGCAACAGGGCCCCTTGAAGGAAGCATTTGGGGTTTCCACTAAAAAAAACAACAACACCTTAGCAAGCTGATTTAGGGAATCCCTTTGCGAGGAAGTTGGTTTTTGGAGGAATCTTGCAATCATCATACGGGCAGGCAAATATTTTTACGTTTGGCATGTACATCTATTTGGGTCTGTCTCAGACTATGGGTGCCCCAAAAAGGGTCGCGTTCCTTTTGGCTTTCCTTTGCACCAGCAAGAAGAGGGTGCCCCCTAAAAAAGACACACACACACACACCGATTTCTTGCCTGTCCAAATTTGTGCGTTTTGGTTTGGCTCCAGCTTTTACCTGTGGAATTGGGACCCTTGGGCAGGTTGGAGGGTTCTTGAAGAGTGTCTAACTCACTTCCCATGGTCACAAGTTTCCTAAATTGGGGATTCTCTGTGGGTGTATGTCCAAAGAATGTGTTGTTTGCATCTCAGTTGCAGGAAGCGAATCGACATGTTTGCCTTTCGGTTTCGCAATGTGGTCCATTTTTAGTCATGGCCCCCAAAGGTCCTTTGAGCAACTGACGAGGTCGAAGGCTGTTTCAAGGCAATCTGAGTGACATCTGCTTTCGATCACGGCCAGTCACAAGCCTCTGGAACCATCGAGCCGAGGTTGACCGGCGAGTGATGTGTTGTTTCTTTGTTCTTCATCTTGGTGGGTTCAACCCCGCCGACCCCCAAGAAAAGCTGCACTTTGCATGTTTGTTCAGTCCCTTTGAGGATTCTACTGGCTTCTAACGTTCCCTCCGCTGGCTTCCATTGAAATCAGCCAAAGACAGGTGTCAGCTTGCCCAAGGCCACGGGAGGTCTGAGAAAAAAGGTGTTCGGTGGGCTGTCTATTGTCATTGTGTAGTGCTGCTTGCAGGTGCTCAGCAGGGAATGAGAAATGGAATGACCCCTATAAACCGGTGGGCCCTGGGTTCACCAGCAAGGCTAATTTGTGATTAATGAACCAGGCCAACAGAAAAGCGGATAGTTCAGGATACTGCTCCCTGTTCCTTTTGGCTGTAGTCACATGGCAATGGCTGCGTTGCCCCACAAAGTAGGACCTGTTGGATGCAACTGGCAGAGGGAGAGAGAGAGAGAGAGAGATAGCGAGAGATAGCGAGAAAAATTACTTCGCTTCGAGCAATCCCCGCCCTCCACATTGTGTGAATTCAAGCATGGTTTTCGAGTGGCTTGGGGCCTATGACTGCTCAACAAGTTATCCACCTGTCTGCGTGTCAAACTCCTTTGTCTGCGAGCCGATCTCGAGAACTCAAACATTGGTTCCGCTCACAAAAGCCAAGCCCCTTCCAAAAAGAAACCCAACGGGGGATTAAACGAAGTTGCTCATTCACAACCCAAAGCAACACAAAAGCATCACCCTTTCCGAGGTTCAGGGTGCTCAAAACACGAAGGCACCAACATGAAATGTAAACCCAACTGCGCGCCGGGCGGGACATTAAGCAAAACCAGACTGGCGAGCTGCTCTGGCAAGCTGCTCTGACGAGCTGCTCTGGCGGAATACTGGCGGGATCCACTGTCGAATACTGGCGAGCCGCTCCGGCTCGATACTGGCCGGATACTCGGCCGGCAGGATCCACCGGCAAGGGGTACTCAGCGAGATACTTGGCGCGATCCACTGGCGAGCTACTCTGAGATACTCGGCGGGATCCACTGGCGGGCTGCTCTGGTGGGATACTTGGCAGGATCCACGGGCGAGCTACTCTTGTGGGATACTTGGCGGGATCCGCTGGCGAGCTACTCTGGCATACTCAGCGTGATACTTGGCGGGATCCACTGGCGGGCTGCTCTGGTGGGATACTCGGCGGGATCCACTGGCGAGCTCAGCGGGATACTGGGCGGGATCCAGTGGCGGGCTTCTCTGGTGGGATACTCGGCGGGATCCAGGCGAGCCGTACTCGGCGGGATCCACTGGCGAGCCGCTCTGGCGAGATACTCGGCGGGATCCACTGGCGAGCAGCTCTGGCGGGATACTGGGCGGGATCCACTGGCGAGCCGCTCTGGCGGGATACTCGGCGGGATCCACTGGCCAACTGCTTTGGCGGGATACTCGGCGGGATCCACTAGCGAGCTGCTCTGGCAGGATACTGGGTGGGGGCGTGGTGTAGAAACATCGCAAACATGGATTCCAACATAACATCTAACAACCCCTTCCTGTCGGGTGGGGAAAAAAAAACTACCTGGAGTCTCCATGACCCTTTAAGAATGGGTTACTGACCCCATTATTTGGGGTAAGGACCCCACTATTTTGGGTAAGGACCCCATTGTTTGAGGATCACTCCAGGAAGCTTTTCCCTGACCTCGGATCGATCCGAAGGAGAAGCGAAGGCTCCTGCAGCGGATCAGCGCCAAGCTGGGCGAAGCTTGGCGCTTTCGTCCAAATATGTCCCCTCAGCTCACGCGCTCCTCAGGTGGGTGGTGTGGTTGGGTTCCTCAGGTTTTCGGTTGGGATTTTTTTCGTGGGCTCCGTAAAAAAGAATCATGTTGCAACCATTTGAAACATGGCTGGCTTTTTCAGCACCCAACATAAAGTTGCAAACCTCCATGTACAAGTTGCAATGTTCAGGTGTAGAATGTAACGATCCCTGCGCAGTGCTATGGGTTTGCCGGGCAAGCCAGAGGGAAACCGTGTCTGCTCAAAAGGGCATTGGACTTTGTAAGTGGAAAATAACCATGCCACTAACCCCACTTACGATGGTTATAAGTCTCCCAACTAGACACCAACCAATCTTACTGACCACTTACGTAAGTGTTCTGCCCATTTGAGTGTGTTAAGAGGAAGTCAATTGGAAGCCTTTTTTTAGTGTTATGCGACAGCCAAAGGGAGACGATCACTTCCGGGATTGTTCTGAAAAGCAAAGAAAGGGAAACCTCCGCCAATCAGCTGATCCTGAAACTCGTGGGATCTGCACTAAGGAAGGAGTTGCCAAGACCGCCTTGGCTCCAGCAACTTGGCCCTGTGACGAGCGCTTTGGCTTGGGACACCAGGCGCGTACATCAGGTATCCCTCAGTTTGTGGTTTACTGGCTCTGGCTTCTGTAAAGGGCGGGAAACCACCCGGACTTCCAAACCACCAATCCAAATCACAAAAACAAAAGGGACCGCTTTAAAGAAATGTCAAAGGAAAATGTGGGCCCCTTGTTCGAGGCTGGGATGGCCAGTTTGGCAGAGAGCCCTCCCGCCTCCCACCCTGATGATTGAAGGCTTGGGGTCTGAGAGGGCTTGGGTGTCTGGGGGGTGTTGTGGAAGAGGCGATGTACAAGTGATATATCTCCCGGAAACCGGGACCTTCCAACTATTGTCAGGGGACGTTTCCCTGGCATCCAGGTTCTGGCCAAAACTGTTCGTTAGGTTTCCTCATTATGCACTTTATGGCTATTTGGTCGGATCTTTGGACTTTAACTTTTTGTTTAAGACCGGTGGGATTTCCGAATTGAACCACAAAAAGTGAACAACTTTTTGCAGAGGGGGGGGTCGTCACAGCAACCAAGTTGGAGTGAGGGATCAAAAGCTGTTCAACTCCTTCTGGCCAGTAAACTCATCAAGAAGTCCACAAAATTGCAAAGGGTCGCTCGCCTATTGGAAGTTAATCGTTGGGGACAGCGTGTGGGATTTTTTTGGGCCAAGGACTGAGTTATTCAGAGCCAATCCTGAGTCCTCGTGCTAGGTGATAGTGACTTCCCTTGTAGTGATGTCCTTCTTATGTGAGGGGTTGGGGTTGAAAACCGATCCATTCTGAACTGCCCAGAAAGACGATCCTGCATTGACTTATCCAGTGGCCACTGGATGTCGCCTTCGAACGTGGATCGTTACTGTCCATGTTTTGCGTGGTTCTTGTTGCAAGTTTCGTTGGCATAGATGTTGACTGCGTACACCGAATTGTTCAGTGGCACCCCTTGCCCTTTTTGTTCAACATGACTGTTGGGCAAGTGCGATGGCCTTGGGAAAGCAAGTCCTGGTGGCAATCACACATCGTGAAGGTTACAAGGCAACCAAGCAAGAAGCAAATCGATGGGAATGCGACGTAACTTTCAGGCTCCGAGAAGAGGGTTTCAACAGGTTGAGCCCATATTAATCAACCCCTGTTGATTCATAGGGGGTGTCCCTGGTTTCAATGGGGATTCATCACTTTTATCACTTTTGGAGGGAACACGCCCCTATTAATACACAGGGGTTGATTAATATGCGGGTGACCATTACATATCATTCTTGTGAGATGCGAAAGCAGCTTGCCGAATCTGTGGGGCGGTGCTCCTTTGATCCGCCAGGTACGTGTGAGGGGCTCAGAAGGAAGCATCTATGGAGAATGTCACCTCCACAAGCCCAAACCTCTCCCAAAAGCAAAAAGGAAAACACAGCAATGGCTCCTTTATCATGGTTGCCTGTGCGGTTCTAACTTCGAGTGATGGACAAACGGCCCAGCAGGTGTTGCGCGCAAGAAAACAGTTTCCTGTGCCGTTCCGTGTTTTTGTTTTTGTTGTTTTTTGTGGGGGTCCAGGCGCAGGCATTTTGCGACAGCTCGTTTCTAGGCCCCGCCCAGCCTGGGCACGGTCTCACAGGACATCAGGCGCGGGTGTTGGATTTTAGCCACGAGCCCTTGGTCCAATTTGATGGCAAACTTGGTTGGAGGTAAAACGAGCTCACCCTCATGCAGGCCCTTTACTTGGGGTCCCTTCTTTCTGGCTTCGGAAGGACCTCTCACAATTTGCAGCTCATTTTGCAGCTCATGGTAGTTGCCTCTGAATGATATCTTGGAATACATGCTCAAGTGCTTGGACAGACATCTAACGAAACTGATGCAAACATTAAGATTGGTACCGGTGTGTCTTGCGGGTGTTGCTTCTTCACGATTGTTCATCTTTAGCGCGCTTCAAAGAAGGTTGTTTTGCTGGTAGGCTGGGCATGGGTTGGAGGCCACGGACTCTTTGGATGAGAAGCTTTTCTTTTGTTTGCAACCTTGGCTTGGGTGGTTTCCCCTGGTTGTCCCATGACGGTCCTTTTGATCAACGTCCAGATGTTAGTGCAGCCGAGCCTGCTTGAAACAAGGCTTGACCAGAGCCTGGGGAGGTCGGATGCCCGAGCGGGAATGGCCCCAGGAAGATACCCAGAGGACGGCGCCCTAGCTCGCAACAAATAGCTCTCTTGACGTGTGTGGGCCAAAAAAAACCTATGGGCTATAGCCATAAGTCCCATGGGAGCCTTTGCAATTGTTGCGTCTAAACTCCCTGACCCTGCACGCTTTGAAAAGGAAGGCCCTAAAGAGGTTGACGCGTCAAGACTCAGAATCTTTCAAGCTGGTCACGCGCAAAACGCAGACTCTTGCCGGAAAGACCCATCGATTTAGCCTTACGGATCGCGACGAAGTTTGACTTGCGACTGAACTTGAGCTTCCCTTCCTGTGGTGCAGTGTAGATGTGCTTTAGAGCTTACTGAAATTGAAATCTAGCTTCATTTGCCTGGAGTACTGAAGCTTGTCGCGACTTATCAATTGCTCAGGCAACTTGCTTCTTACACGCCCCCTTGAAACAAGATACACGTTTGTCGAACACGATCAATGGCTTTCGATGAGAACTGAAACTTCTGGAAAAGGTGCCGCGGCTAGCTGGTTCTTATGCCAGTGAGCTGAATGATTGGCCGTCTTGTAGCTTTGTGTTTTCTCTGTCTCTCTCTCTCTCTCTTTCTCTTTCTCTTTGAATTTGTTTCTCTGTGTCGATTCTTTCGGTATTTATTCATTCATGTTTTTTTTTCTTATTCATGTCTTTCATTCTTCCTCAGTCACTTTTCCTGACAGGCATATGTTCGACATTTGTTGTACCTACGGCCCATCCAAAGCAACTGTGTTAGGCATTTGTTGGCACTTGCATGGCATTGATTTGTGGTAGGTTCACTTGAAGTTGTTAGTTCCGTGAGGGAGACTGCCGCCACAAGCGGGCAAAACAAGCCCATCCTCTGTTTATGCACCTGACGACAAGCGTGCTGTCACAAGGACCAACACAGCCAGCGGGTGGCTTTATTAATTCATGGGGTTGAACAAGGACAGAGGAAAACAACACGCACAACAAGCATGAAGCACAAACAACTACCAAGCACGGGAGCTTCTGCTGCAGATCAGGCACACCCCTTCTAAACCCCAGGGAGTTGGCTAACTTCCTGCAGATTTTTTCTTTGGCTGGCTTCCTTCTAAGGACCTACGTACAAATGGACATACCCTACCTATATGCCTTACACAGTGATGGTTTCTGGGGTACCCTGGACGGTCCCTGTAGAAGGGGTGTGTGTGTTGGCATGTAGGATCCCGGATTCTTAGGCGGGTTTCTTGAGCGGAGTTGCTTGGGTGAAGTCGCTGGGGGAAGCTTGGAGGGGGGGAATCAAACGGGCAGGTCCATCTGCATGGACTTGCAGGGCGACATCCAGCGCCGCGCGGTGAGCAATTCGCCTGTTCAGGTGCTCTGAAGCCTCAGAAAATGGAGTAAACAGGATGTGCAATTCTTTGTTGGTGGCTAATTTTGTTGGGTAAAGGCTGACACAGAATCTGAACATCTTCGTGTTGGTGTACCCCCTGAGTGGGGTCAAGTTATATTGCTGTTTCAGCTTTGGGGTCTAAGTTCTTTGGCTTCTCCCCCAGCTACCCCCGCTGGCGTCAGAGAGGCGGACTGTTCCAGGAACAGACTTAGCGGTGTGTTCCTAAGTGGTTTTCGACGGCTCGGACATTTGGCTGCGTATTTTGTTTAGTTGCATTCTTTGCTTATCCCCATCTTTTTTGGTGCAGTTGTTCATGCTTATTCTGTTCTGCTCTCTCTCCTGCGTGCACGTGATTTTTGCAGGTTGTGCATTGCAAGAGGCAAAATCTTGTCTAACAGTCTTCTCTTGCAACTGACTAATGATTTTGAGGTGGCCCACTCCCCCATTTGGGGTACTCTAGGCCTCAGATTTGACGGCTGACATGGCGACCAAGAACACAGGGGAATTAGTAATGTTTAAAGAGAAGCCAGGGTGCAATGTTTGCCACATGCGCACACAATCGCACACATTAATTTCATATACACCTCACGCATTCCGTGCATGGCGCGAAGGCCGTGGGGCGGAAACCGCGAGTGCGCCGGCGAGCCAAGGACGGAAGGCCTTCTTGGCGCAAAGTTTGTGAACCGCTGGATCTGGTGCTCAGAACGACCCAGTGGGCAAGCCCGTAGGAAGGAAAGCCAGCCCCAAGGTTTGGAAAGTCACATATTTTTTGGTGGGCAGCGCGCCCTGCCCATCCGAAAAATATGCCCTCCGGAAGGTTCACAAAGATCCCACGTCGCGCAAGTTGAGAGGACGTCGGTTTTCGGGAACGGGCGCCGACGTGGGCTTCCATCCCAACTGCTGTGGCGGGCAAGCTTCCCTTGAAGGCATCATGATTTCTTCCAAACAGTTGGCACGCAAGTTTTCTTTGGCCCTCCATATAGTGAGAGCGTGTAACAAAACGCCGCCCTGACTTGCCCAACCTGTTTTGTTGGAAGTGCGTGTTTCCCTAATAGCAATGGGTGGTTTTGTTACGGGCAACTCAACCAACGCGCACTTCCCGTTTTGCAGTGCAAAAAGTCCCAGCCAGCAATGTGTCAAATTTGTATGGCAGGTGGCGTTCCTCTTAAAAAGACTCGCAGATCCACATGAAATCTTGGAGAAACCACGGGCTTCCTTACAAACATTCAATGCAAGTCTCACATCCAAGACTGTGGTGCCAAAACATGGCGGCCGCCGACCGCCGGCCTCGTTTCCGAGCAGTTCTGTTGACCAAGAAAGTCTGCAGATTGCGGTGGAAAACTGCCGGGGGGCGTGCGTCTGACATTGCCAGAGTTTGTCAGCCCTGGGAATTCCTCTTAGTCTCTTAACTGCTTAAAGCCAAAAGGTAGACCTTTGAACCTGAATGGGGTCCAAATGGGCGATTTGGAGCCCATGAGGGGGTCAGTGCGATTTGTTTGTTCTGGATTCCAACCCAAACCTATTGCCATTTCATTGGAAGGGTGGGGGTCCTTTGGGCAATTGAGGCCGGAGGGAATTAGGCAAATGGTTTTCCGAGTGTCCGCTCATAAAGCGCCCTTACCCACCGGTTCTTTACTTGACGATTTCTTAAGTCTAGTTTGTGACTTGTGGTTTGTATGTTGTTGTTGTTTTCTTCTGCAGACCCCTTTGTAAGACTTCTTTCGTTTTGGACACAGGATCTGTTCACTTCCATGTTTGAGGGGATCAGAGTTCATCCAAACTTTCCACATCAAACAAATGCACAATGGCAATCCTCATGTGGGTGTCATCCCCTCACTCGCACCCAACTCAAAGCAACGAGTGCCATCTACTTCTACCCTCTAAATCGGCGGTTTGGATCGGTGGCGTCGGGGGTTTGAACTTTTTGTCCTCCGAGGGTAGATAGGAAGCTCCGAACAAGCCAAACCAACCAGAGTTGAGGTGTGCTCACTTCCTGAGTTCCTGGGCTTTATTTTGGGAAGACCATTTCAGTGGCCCTCAATCAGTTTGGACTTTTTGTTGGCCCATCCACTCAGGAAGTGAGCGCAATGGGGGGGTGCGACTTCCCGAGTGAATGGCTCTTATGGAAATCAGCCCGTTGCGCCTTGACATAATCAAGGGTCACCAATAATGAGGACAAACCGTATTGGACCCCAATTGCACCCGCCCACCGATTAGCATGGTTCTCAGAAATGTTCTAGGGACGAGGGGGTGGGGACTGGTTGGGCCCTGTGCTTAGGTCCCATTTCTGCTTCTCGGTGGTCGCCAGCCGTAGGTCGATTTCAGAATCTTCCCCATTTCCGTGGGGCTGGGGAACGATGACCTTTCGACCTTGGTGTGTCTTCGATGTTCAGTCAAGGTTAGAAAGATGAGCCTCTCACGTACCAAGCTTCTGGACTTACTTATTTTGGGAAGGGTCAACAATCGTACTTTCTTTAGGCCAATCATGGCCAACCCACTGGGGCAGGAAGTTCTTGCATATCAAGGTGCTTTGGGCAATAGAGTTGGTGCACCATTTAACCCACTAAGACTTCAACTTTTAGCAGGGGATCTGAGGACAGCCCGGGTGTGTGACGGTTGTGCTCCTTGCATTACATGGATTCTCACCTGCCCCTCCCCCGTCCGCCAGGAACCACCACCTGTCCCGCACTGGCCACAGAGCAAACAGCACCTGGCAAACCGTCCGGCCTGGAAATTTTCCGACGAGAGCTCCCTACATGGGTTTGTACATGGGTACCCGGTTTCGTCGACACTTACTGGTGCGTGGCTGTATCTCAGACGGGCACTTGTCTAGCCTGAAGGTGACCCGATGAGTGTACTTTCGGCCTTTAAAAAACCCCTCCCCCATCGAATGTTGCCCCTATGTTCAAGGATATTCGTGCTTCTGGTCCATATCTAGTGAACTTTACAATTGAAATATCGAGCAGTTTCCACGGGCGCGGCACAGTGAGAACCTCCTGGAAGGGAAGTGTAGTTGGAAACTTCCTGTTCCACATCCCGGCCAAGCTGCGGCTGTCCCATGGTGGCTAAAGGTCAAAATCAAAAGGCGAAGCCTCTTGTTTCCATGTGGCAAACGACTTGTGTGGCAAACGCGAGTTGCGCCTTCTGTTTCTGCGGGCTTTTGCTTGGGCAGGGGACCGTTCAATTGCGGCTGTGGCTTCTTAGCCGGAATGGCCAAATTCAGCTGCAAAGCCTCGTTCTTGGTTTTAGGCGGCTTGGGTTGAAAATCAAGCCCCAAGATGCGCCCTTTCCCATGGAAATCCAGTGGTCTTGGAGATCACGGGGCCCTTGACATTTTGCCTGACATTCGGAAATGCCTGGATTGGGCCACACGTGGGCACCATGCGGCGAGGTTTTGGAACCGTTGAAATCCTCATGTAGCCATATAACTCCCAAGTGACATGGAAGCTGATCGGAGGGGCCTGGAGGCTGGCGCGTGTTCCTTCAGAGTCCTTCAGTGGAGAGGGTAGCGGTCTGCACCCAAAAGCATGATGCACAGGACCTGGCAAGGAAGCCAAAACCCCACCCGCAGTGACACTCAGTTCCATGTAGTTCCTGTGAAATCCCCTGAAAGGTCCCCCAATGGACCGGCAGATGTTCAAGGATCCCAACCCTCCCACATGCCAAGCCCCTCGAATTTCTAGTTTCCCGGGCCGAACTCGCCAAAGCCTTCACTTGGGTGGCCACAGCCCTCTCGCCTCAGGCAGGACATGATGAAACTCTTCAAGACGGTGGCGGCTTCGCCACAGGCGATTTCGACGTTGAGAAGTGAGGAGTGTGAGGAGTGGTCGCCCCAAGTAGTTTTCAACGATTGGCCATTTTAGCTAGTGGTTAGGTTACTTCCACTTGCTGAAATGAATATGAGCATTAGTTTTGCCCTTGCCACTGGAAATGTGTTTTTGAAAAGCAAAAATGTCCAGGTGGCGAAAAAGCAAATGGAAGGACAGCCCAACTGTTTCCCTTTCTCAGGGCCCAGCTCCACATGGTGGCTCGTTTCTTAAGACATGGCTGGGTGTTCCTTTGGTTCCGGTACCCTCGAAAGACGAGGCGCCCACATGGCCGGTCTTGACCGCAAGCATCCGCAGGTGGCGCTGCAGCGGATGTCCCCCGATGGCGAGCCCAACTTGGCGCAGTGGACCGCTGCCATCCGAGCAGCTCGCCGCGATCAGATCGGGCGGTGTTTCCTCGATGAGCGTGAGGGTGTGTTTTGTTGTGGGGAATTGCCCGTTTTGGATGGTTTTAAGGGAAACCAAAAGGCAGCCATCCTGGTGGGTTTTGTAATCTTTTTGGATGGTTTTAAGGGAAACCAAAAGGCAGCCATCCTGGTGGGTTTTGTGGGGAATCCTTTTGGATGGTTTTAAGGGAAGCCAAAAGGCTACCACCCAATTTTGGTGGGTTTTGCGGGCAATTGCCTATTTTGATGGTATAGGGAAAGCAATATGGAAAACAAGAATGGGGGGTCGATCCCCCCTATTGAGACAAACCCTCGATACCCGCGCAGAAGGCCAAGCTGCCCGAGGAGCATTCGGAGGACAGCCCCTGAATCTGGGTGTGTGTATGTCCGAATTTGAGGGTACCCTTTTGTCGGGGTTGTTTGGAAGGGAAAGGAGAGGGAGGCTGCCTATTTTCCAAGAATTTTGGTGGGTATTTGGCGAACTTCCTGTCCTGTAGAATTTCCTGTAGCTGGTTTCTATGATTTTTGTTTAATTACATGCCCGCACGTGGAGGCCAGCCTGGACGGACCAGGAGTCCGGGAACCGTTGCAACGGTGTGGGTGGCTTGACCCCTGAACCGCGTCAGGCGGTTTGTTTTTGTTGGTGCCTGTTGGTTTTCAATGGAACCTCAGCGACTGAGTTGTCCAAATCCCACCTTTACCCTGCTTTTTGCGTGGTTCGGTAAATGTGTAGACCTTGTGTTGTCATTTCTTTAAGTTATCCACTTCTCTTAGTCAGCGTGCCTCAACTGTCAACTTGCTGCCCCAGTACGCAAAAAGTGGCCACTCCTTTGAACAACGCGATTGCAAAAATCACTTTGGTTTCCTTTGGTTTCCCTTGGCAACCATACTTCTACCCTGCCAGGGGCTCAGCAACCTTCCATGCGTCTAAGGAATGGAACTGGGGACTGAGCCGCTCGCAGGCGTGCCCGAGTCGACCCGGGCCAGAACCAAGAGTTTGGGTTGCCTATGGGCAACTTGTTAGGCTTATCCACTCACCGCCCAGGCAAGCCTCAATAGGGCCTTAGGCCAAGGCCAAATAAGGCTTCATAGTTGAGTGGGGTCCCTAAATTCGACAGGCAGCGCTTGTGATGCGAGCAGTTGAAGCTGCCGTTACATTGAAGGTCCAGAAACAGACCTTTGCTGAGTTCTGCTCTGTTGCTTCTTTGCCATGGGTCTTGGGCGAAGCCTTCAATACCAGGGTTCGATATTGTGTGTGTTTGCGTGTCATAGTGAAGGATACACAACAACCCTGTGGGTCCAAGTACCCAGGGACAGAGTGTTTTCGTGAAAAGACCATTCTCACAACAAATGGTGGCTAAGTACCTGAATATTATGGACTCCGGCTTTCGTACCCTTGGCTGGCAGCTGCAAAAGCTTCGCATTTTTCCCCCAGCGAAAGCACGTGTGTGAACCCCTTAGTCAGCATC